GTTCAGGGTCTCACTACTAGATCGGACTCTAGTGATCTTCCTGTTTACAGCCTCCCAAGAGCTGGGATGACAGGCGCGTGCCACCATGCCCAGTCTCAATCGCCATCTCAGTGCACCCAAGGGTGCCCGGAGATGAAATCCCTTGGGTTTTAAAACATCTTACCAGATACCATTTGTAAGCAATTTACTGTTTAATATAGCTTTATTTTTGAACTTGATAAAAATGGTAAGTCTTAGTCTTCTTGGACTTACTTTTTAACTCAGCATGTTTCCACAAAGCGCCTGTGTTGTGTGAAGCTACAGTTCATTTATTTTTACTACTGTGAAGGATTCCAGCATTTTCAAAGGCCATAGTTAATCTCTGTCTCTTCCCAGTGATAGACATATGAGTTGTTTCCATGGTCAGGTGACTCCTCTTGTCCTTTCTTTTATTGCTTGAATCCTAGGTCATATTACATGGCAGAAGCTATTAGGTTATTGAAGCGGAGCAGTAAGATGACAAGAACTAGATTCTCTTGGCTTCTATATTTAACAGGAAATATAAGTGAACCTTTGATCGCCAAGCTCAAGGATATCATTTTCATGTTGAATTGTACAGCAGAAGGGAAAGCAAGTCTGATCCTCATTGCCTGTCTCCAGACCTTTATATCCAACTTCATGTGCCTCTTCAGACACATACCTTCCCTATGGCGTCTCAGATTCTAAATGAATAGCACTGAATTCAGTAACTTCACCTTGTAGCTACATCTTCATCTTCCCAAGTCATCAAGCAGAACTAATGGCTGCTTTTTATTATTTTATTTATTTTTTTTTAATTTTTTTATTAATTTGTGTGTGTGTGTATGTGTGTGGCCAGCTCAGCCCACCAGGGGGCAAGGCTGGCTGGCATGTGGTGCTGGAGGATTGAACTGCAGTCCCTGTGCTTTGCTAAGCTTGTTCTAAGTAGGTGCTTTAGACCACTGAGCCATCTCACCAGCCCCTAATGGCTGCTTTTTAAACTCTTCTTTCCTTTCAGTTCTTACTGGCTAATCAATCAAAAGTGCTAAGGCATACCACAAACATTTTATATTTTATTTTGACTCATAGTCTTGCTGAGTTGTCCAGGCTGCCTTGTGACCCTCCTGCCTCAGCCTCCCAGATAGCCAAGATTAGCCATAATGTAACTGACACGTCTCCAAATCAAAAAGATGCAAATGCAGATCTGCGTGATGGATCAGAATGACTCCAACAAACTATAAATTCTATGATTTTATATCTTTTGAAACCAAATAGAAAAAAAAAGTGTACTTTTTAACATGATGGGAGAGATCCCAGTAACTCCAGGACTGCATGGAGCACAGGCAGTGTTTAATAGTCTGTGATTCCACATTTATGTGTGATCTAAAAAGATCTTTGGCTGATGGACTTTTATGTGTTTTAGGGAAGGGTATACAGGGTGTTCAGGGTGTCACTACTAGATCAGACTCATAGTGATCCACCTATTTACAGCCTCACAAGAGCTGGGATTACAGGCGTGAGCCACCATGCCCATCCTCAATTGCTGGCTCAGCATGCCCTGGGGACAGGGCTAGGGCTGGCACGGCAGGCCTAGGGGTCAAACCCCCGGCCCCTGTACCTGCTTGCAGGCACTTTAATCCACTGAGCTATTTGGCTGGCCCTGATGGACTTTTAAAGTATATGTGATTTTAATGAGTGCCTTCCATACCTTTGCCCTGGCTGCCTTTCTCTTGTGGACAAATGTAGTAGCTCCCTGTGTCCAAAGCACCCAAAAATGGTATTTCTAAAAGCAGATCTGTTCTTGGTGTTAATAAGTCAGTGGCTTCCTCACCATTTTCAGGATATTATACAAGCTCATTCTAGTGTGATGGTAAACTGCTATGGTCTTCTCATAGCTTAGCTGCACAGCCTCATCTCACTTAACTTTCTTACTTTTTTTTGTAGTACTGGAGATTGAATTCGGGACCTTGCACTTGCCAGGCAGGCACTTATGCTGCTGAGCTATATCCCTGGCCCTCATCTAACTTTCTAATAATCTGTGCTTACACCCACATTGAATTTATTGAACTTTTTGGAATGGACCACATTATTTCCTGCCTATAGATGTTTTCCTATATAGTTATTCTCTCTGCAGTATCTCTATGTCCCTCTTTCACACCTGTATTCCTTTAAAATACTCTTGTTGGGTTGGGGATATAGCTCAACAGTATAAATGCCTGCCTGGCAAATGCAACGTCCTGAGTTTGATCCCTGGTACCCCCACCACCAAAAAAAACCCCAAAACAACAACAAAAAACAACTCTTGTTTGCCCTTCCAGACTCAGCTGTCTTGTGATACCAGAAAGACTCTTTGACCTGACCTTTCTCACAGCTTCCCAGTCTTTCCCCTCCTCACTGGGGGTAGTGCTTTGTCTCCTACTCACCTTGGTACAGCCCCTCAGGGCTGCATTGGGAGTGACGGAGAGCTGATGGTCTCTACCACTGAAAATAGTTTTCTGAGAGACAATGAAGTAAAGGCTTTAGGACCTTCAATCAGGTTATAGGGTCAGACAGGGATAATTATTGTGTGACTTTGCACTAATTCTTTCATATTTCTGTGCCTTAGTTTTACATAGCTATAAAATAAGGATAAGGGCTGGCAAGATAGTTCAGCAAACTAAGCAGTTGCTTTGCTTTGACAAGTGTAGAGACCAGGGTTTGATCCCTTTTCCTGCACGCCATCCCGGCCCCACCCCCGGGACATGCTAAGCATGGTGTCATTCGCCCATAATCCCAGCACTGAGGAGGCTGAGAACAGGAGAATCGCTACAAGTCCAAGCTGCTTCATTAGACTCTGTACTAAATACATAAATGAAAAAAATAAAAAATAAAAAAATAAGGATAGGGCCAGGGAGATAGCTCAGTGGCTTAAGTGCCTGCCTGGCAAACATAAGGTCCTGAGTTAGATTCCTGGTACAAAAAAAGAAAAAAAAAATTACAATAAAGATTGTGTCTATCAAAGTAAGGATAGGAACTATATCTGTCTTTATTAAAATATGCATGTCTGCAGTTTCTGTTATTCAGTACAACTTTCAAAGCTCTATTGCTATCATTTATTAGAATAAAAAGATACAAAGTACAATCCTCAGAGAACAAAGGACATGAGGTAAAGCCAGGAAGAAACAAGCTCCAACTCCTGTGGTATGATATAAAACGTGCTTCACTCCCTCAGCAATGAATCATGATGACCCGTATAATGGAAGCTCATTAAAAATTTAATTATTGTCCAGAGTTCTTACTGGGAACTGGTGATGCAGTGTCTTCTGCGTAACATGTACTTGATTCCAGATTCCACAGGAAAAGGTGTGCTGGGATTGCAAGTGTGAGCCACCATACCCTGCTAAAATCATGGTATGGTAGCTTCCTTTGGTATCAGGAATGATGAGAGCCCTCCAAAAGTCTCAGTTCCTCAATGCCAGGCCAGGACCAAGCTATTAAGAAGACTTTTCAAAGGGTAGCAGTCTCAGGCCTGCAATGATGATCTTCTTCATAGTGTATAAAAGACTGCATAGTGCCTGGCTCTTAGCATTTTGTGATGACAGTAGGTGCTACTGCAGCAGTGAGTCTAACAATGGCCCCTTTAGTTCACCTTTGTTATTAATGTTTACACAATGCTGAGGCCTAGGTTATCTGACCAACAGTAGTAATTGTAACTTCTTACATTATTATTGCTGCGGTCTGAATGTCTGTTTTCCCTCCATGGTTCTTTATGTGATGGTGTTAGAAGGTAGGACCTTTGAGTGATGATTTAAGTCATCAGTCTGGAGCCCTCAGGGTTGAGATTAGTACCCTTATAAAGGAACCTCATAGTGCTGACTTGCCTTCCACCAGTTAGGACACAGGTAAGAAGTCCCATCTGTGACCTCAGACACTGGCCCTGCCAGAACCTTGATTTTGTACATATTAAGCTCTGAAACTCTGAACAGTAGCTCTCTGTGGTTTATAAACTTTCCAATTTAAGGTATTTTGTTATAGCAGCCTGAAAAGACTTAAAAGAACTCGTAATGGGTGACACATTAAAACTGCTAATGCACCGTGCTCTGTTTTACAAATCTGACATTTTTGGTTTTTGTTTGTTTTAACATATTTAGAACAGGGTTTACAGGGTCTCACTAGGTAGGTCAGACTTGTAACTTTCCTCCTATTTTCAGCCTCCAAGCACTGGGATTACATTCGTGTACCACCACTCCCAATCTCAATCACCAGTTTCAGCCTGCTCCAGGAGTGGGGCCGGCACACTTACAAGTATTGACTTATTTGATTCTCGTCACAGTTCTGTGAGGGAGATGGTATTTGCTTTTTACAGATTAGGAAAGCCATAACCAGGGAAGTTGAGTAATTGGCTCATGTTCTTATGGCTTATAAGCAATGAAAGCTAGAGGTAGAGGCTCATGCTTGTAATCCCAGCACACACAAAAATTAGTAACTTCGAACTCAGCCTGGGAGATGTAGCAAGGTCCTGTCTCAAAGAGGATGGGGGTAGCTCAGTGGAAAGCACAATGTTCAGTACTACCCAAAAAAGGTAGTAAAACTACAACTTGAACCCAGGTCTTCTGATTAGACTTTACTCTTGGCTTGATAAATATTGAACAAGCAATAAGCTGCTGGACAGGTAAATAAATATTTCAATTGATTGGAGTCAGATGTAGTGGCCCACACCTATAATTCCAGCATTCAGGAAACTGAGGCAGAAGGATCACAGCCTTGGCTCAATACCTACTTCAAGGCTAGCCTGCACTAGGAGTAAGACCTTGACTCAAAAATACACAAAACAAAAAAAGTGAGACTGTTCAACCAATGTAAAAACATTTTGGGGATAAAAATGTAGAAGTGTAATTAAAGAGTGGGTACTAGGTGATGTTTTGAATTTTGTTAGATGTAATGATGACATATTGTTGTGGAGAAAAATTTCCATAATTTTTAGAAATGTCTATAAAGGATTTGGAATCAAATGTCAAATCTGTTATTTTAATTTCATCTCAGTGTAAGACTTAATGAAGCATCGATCCTTGGTACCTCAAAAAAAAAAAAAAAAAAAAGTTAATGAAACAAATGTGAGAAAACACTGGTGGAGCCAGGGAGATAGCTCAGAATAAGTGCTTGCCTGGCAAGCTCAAGGACCTGTGTTCAATCCCCAGTTCCGCCAAAAAAATAAGAAATTAAAAAAAAAGAACGAAAACACTGGTAATTGTTAAATAAGAATATACATTAAATCCCTACTAATAAAAAGTAAACAATATTGGGGGCTGGGGAGACAGCTCAGCAGTCTAAGCATCTGCCTGGCAAGTGCAAAGACATGGGTTCATTCCCTGGTACTGCATGCCATGCCAGCCCCAAGCTGTGTAGCAAGACCCTCTACCAAATAAATAAATAAATAATCTTTAAAAATAATTTTTAAAGTAAAATAATGTTTTAAATCAGGTATTTATTAGCCATGATAATTATTGCCCAAAGTAATAATGCTGTTACCCATAAACTTCTTTGAAAGTTTTATTTCTCTCAGTCCGTGTTTGCTGTACATGATTATACTCATCATGGGAGCTGGTACATACACATAGCAACATGTCTTTTTTTTTTTTTTTTTTTTTTTTTTTTTTTTTTGTGTGTGTGTGTGTGTGTGTGTGTGTGGCCAGCTCAGCCCACCAGGGGGCGGGGCTGGCTGGCATGTGGTGCTGGGGGATTGAACTGCAGTCCCTGTGCTTTGCTAAGCTTGTTCTAAGTAGGTGCTTTAGACCACTGAGCCATCTCACCAGCCCCTGGACTACTTTTGAGTTGTTGGAGAAAATAGATGTCTCATGAAATTGTTAATTTATGGGCTGGTTCAATCCCCCAGCACCACATACCAGCCAGCCCTGCCCCCTGGTGGGCTAAGCTGGCCACACACACACACACACACACACACACACGTGCACGCGCGCACGCACACACACACACACACAAATAAATTTTTTTAAAAAAGAAAGAAATTGTTGATTTATTGAATGCATGTTATCTGTGAAGATCTTTCATGGCTTTTAGAGGTTTATGTTGACATTATTTTAATTAATAGATGAAGATACTGAAGTTTTATCAGTATGAAGATAGATTTTTAGTCACAGGCAAGACTTTGATCCCTTGTTGAGGAACATTCCCCCTTTATACCAAGAATTTAACCTTCTGAAATATATGATTTTTTTCATGATTTCTTTTGCATGTTACCTAGTATACTATGATTCTAGTAAATTGACTTAATACCATTTATTTCAGTAGTACACATGCACATGATTGATTTCTTTAGTATTGTCTTCACATTATAGAAGGAACTAATGTCACTTCCACAATTAAAGTAGAAGAGCTAGGGCTAGTTAGCCTTTCAGTGGCCACAATTACTTAAAGTATAATCGAACTTAAAATAAGAATTGTCTCTTTCTAGCCTGGTACTGCAGTCTCACACTGCTGGAAACCCATGTGTGACCCTGACCTCTCCCCTGTCCCAACAGGCTTCTGATGGAAGTAGCTCTAGAGAGGATCTTTCGTCCCAACTTTTGAGAAGAAATGAACAAATACGGAAGTTGGAGGCCAGACTTTCTGGTATGTCAAGAAGTTACAAATAGTAAACAAGAGCCTTTCCTTCCCTACCTCTCTGTCCCTAAAAAACAGCCTTATATTTAGTCAAAAAGAAGCAATCTGCATACTTCCTTCTGTTCCCTTATTTTTGTTGTTGTTGTTGTGTCAAATACTGTAAATTCAGAACTGAATTGAAGGTTTATTCTTAAATACTTCCTCTTCTGCTCCTAAAATACCTAGCCATGGACATAAGAGGTGCTAAGCATATATAGGGATAGCTTTTACCATCTTCCCCCATTAGCAAGGTTTCTTTTATTTATGGGAATGGCTAACAGGTGTTGAATTCTTCAGCCCCAGAGAGGGTTTAATGCTAACTTGCCACTTGCTCTGACTGATAGCACCTGTGGAAGTGTTATTGCAGGTCTTTGGGCCACATTTCAATGGCATTTCTAAGTTCAACATTCATGTCTCATAGAAGCTATAGCTCTCATTATATCATTATGTGTAGTTTACAGTTTACAGCACTCCCTTTGTGTCCTTTGCCTGAGCAAGGCATGGTTGTAATAGTTCTGTTTTGTTTTTGTTTTGCAATACCGGGGATCAGACTGGATCACATCGCACTTGCCAGGCAGACACTATGGCACTGAGCTGTATCCCTGACTGTAATAGAATTTTGAGTTCTTATTTTGGTGTCTGCTAGTGGGTACATTTTGACAGTTTCATCCTGTGATATGATCCATGGCTCTTGTATTGTCTTTTTATTGTTCGGATTTATGCCTATTTCATGATAATAAAAGCAATGGACCAAAATTCCCCAAATTAAAAGTGAAATATGTAATTGTATTTGGGTAGCTTTCAAAGGATCCATACCATAATTCACAAATACCAATTAAATCATTTTGTCCTAAGTATACCCTTGCTAAGCTTAGCAAAGTTTACATTAAACAAGTTGTAAGATAGAGCTAAGGGTCCTGATGGTGCTGAAGTGTACACTCTTACAGTTTTCTTTAAACTCAGCTGTTACTGTCCTGCTACTTGTACCCATAAATGATATCAGTAACAGTGATTATCCAGTCAAGCTAAGACAGGAGGATCACAAGTTTGAGCCCAACCTGGGCAGTGTAGCAATATACTGAAACCCTAATCAAATAAAACAGTGTGGGTGTATAACTCAGTGCAAAGGCTCTGGATTCTATTCCCAGTGCCAAAAGAAAAAAAAAAAAAGAAGAAATTACTTTATATTTGTCTAATGTTAGGAAAATATAATCTGTACCTTCCTTGATACAGAAAGGACAGTTGAGTTTGACTTATGTTAGTAAAGGGACAGGAAAGAGAGCTGACATTTCTTCAGTATACCTAACATTGTGGTCATATCCTATAAGCTTATTATAAATAATAATAACAGTTACTTGGAAATAAGCTCTGGTCACAAAGCACTTAAGGCATATAAAATATTTTATTGTCTAACGGATTCTTGGGAGTATGCAGTTAATATCATCATTAACACATGAAAAAAAACTAGTAATCAGGATCAATAATTTGCTTATGGTCCCCCTAAAGACTGCCAGGGTACTGTCTACTTTTTTAGTATACTGTAGTACTTCTTTGGCCATCCAAATAATTCTTTTTTTTTTTTTTTTTTTTATATGTATTTGGTACAGGGTCTCACTACACAGCTCTGACTCGTAGTGATCCTCCTGTTTTCAGCCATCCCAGTGCTGGGATTTCAGGCGTGTACCATCACGCCTAGACTCCAGATAATTAATTCTGACTCTCACCTTTGCTATGGCGTAGCAAAGGTGCAGTGTAGAAAGGGCCTGTGTGTTCTATACACAGATCCTGTGTAGAAAGAGCTCATTTGTGTAGAGAGTTAAGTACTTTCACCTTAAAAACGATACCATGCTAAAGTGTTTACTATTTTTGTGAACACTGTTGCTCAGTTGTGTGGACTCTGAGTGATCTTTTGTTGAGTTCCCTTGATTTTTTTCCTACTCCTAAGGCTGGAAGGAAAGGTAAACACTGAGCCTTGAAAAGCAGTGATAAGATAATATATTTTTCACAGTAGGGCATTCTAATGATCAGGCCCAGACTGATTCTACTTCTGTGTGATGGCTAAATGAATCTACCTGTTTGTATTCGCCATTTGTACCATGGACAGTTTGTACTATGCCTGTTTGCCTGTGTCATTCACTGTTAGTGAGAGGCTGTCTTTCCTTAACAGGATTTAAGTTGAGTAAGTCATCATCATTTTCACTCATTTTTTTGTTTAATTAACTTCCTTTCCTGATGTTTGTCCATTCTTGGTATGTGCGTCACCCTCCTCACCCAAGACTATGCTGAACAGGTCCGAAACTTGCAGAAGATAAAAGAGAAGCTTGAAATTGCATTAGAAAAGCACCAGGATTGTACGTACTTTTTTCCTGCTTTTTCCTATCTTTTAGGGTGTAGTTTTGAAATGAAATAAGTATCATCATCAGAGCTCATATCATTATTTTATAGTGTACTTCTTAACTAGCTTGATACAACTTTTACTAAGCATATGGTTTGTATTCATGTTGTTTTGTGGGCATGCTTCTGAGGAGGGATCACTGGGTACATCAGTGTGCTTTATCCAGTTGACTCACTCACTGGCTGCCCTCAGGTGTAGTAAAATCTTGTACCTATCTCTTGAGTTTAAGCTAGCGAATAGCTTCTAGCCATGGCCACCTTACGGCTGTGTAGAGAATTGGAGGAAAAAGCTCTGTTATCACTCCTCCAATAATGTAATGTTTTGCTTAATATACCTGAAATTATAAGTCCTCTTTGGGATATTAGCCAAGAAGGTTGCTAATGGGACTAGAAAGCCATTTTTTGTTGATATATTCTAAAGTTCATTTAAAGAAAATTATAGATAGTTTTTATTTTTCCTTGTTCTGATTTTTGTTTTTGTTTTTATTAGTGGTGAAGGGGTAGGAGCTGTCGCGTAGCACTAGCATTGGTGTTTTCTGGCAACCTATCTTAAGTATTTTATCATACATTTAAAAATTATGTTTTGGCATCTTCTTAAATATGTATATTTCACTTGCAGAAAACAAAAATAATCAGGAACTGAACAAGCAAACATATTTGTGGTCTATTGCCAAACTCAAGGTGATCTTTTGAAAAGTCAAGTTAGGTTTTTATCAATCTCATAGTCTACTTATGTGACCTTAGGCTTTTTGTTTAGTGATAGTTGTAATTGCATAAAGTATAATGCTATTCCTGCAGTATTTCTGTATCTCAAATAGAGCCTCTCTGTTGACAGCTTCCATGCGGAAATTTCAAGAACAGAATGAGACATTCCAAGCCAACAGAGCTAAAATGGCAGAAGGATTGGCTTCAGCATTAGCCAGAAAGGACCAGGTATTTTATATTAGCTGAAAGCAGGTATAACTTTGTTTGGTGTCCTCCTTAGTGAATATCTGCAGGCTTATATTTGCATTCTAGAATATCTTCTCCTTTGAAGACTTTTAGTTTTATTAATATTAAACCAAGTTTATGGGGATTTTGTGTTGTTATTATTGTTTACATGTGCTTTTTAGGATTTGTTGTTTACATGTGGGGATTGATTGGTTGTTTTAGGGTGAAAGTTGGATTGTTTTGTTTGTACTCTTCCCTGAAGACTACTTTTTGTTACTGTTTTAGGAATGGTCAGAAAAACTGGATCAGCTAGAAAAGGTCAGTTTAGCGTTATTTGCTTTCTCACTCATGTTGGTTTAATTTCTCAGTCTTGGAAAGTATTTTCCCCGCTAACCAGCACACAGTGCCGACTGTGATAACACCGCTTGATACCAGGCCACTGTGTGATTAGACGCTGGCTTGGACATACCTCTTTTGGGCTTTTTACCCATCTCATGGCATTGATAAATCCTTTTATTACTCTATGCTCCAAATAGCTAATTTGCATATGCCATCTGTTTCTTGCCAGAACCCTTAAGAATTCTTGACAAAGTAATGGGAAATGAGCATTTCTCAGGGCTTGGCATTCAGCAGATAACAGAACCTCTTATTTAGACACAGAGGAGGAAAATTGATTATTCTGAAACCATAGCTTGTGTAACCGTGTGTAGGTGCCTTAAATAATGCATTCCTTGTCCCCAGATCTGAGCAAGAACATGAATCTCAAGCCTACTACTGGAAAAACATTTTAAGCAATAGTCACCTCTCTGCACCAGTTGTATGCTGCATTTTAATATTTTCCTTTGAGTATTCCTAAATTGCTCTTCATGGTAGTACAAGTATTTCTTAGATTGATATAATCAGTTCCAAAGTATATTTGTTATAATTTTAAAATCATATGGGTTTTATTATTACTCTATTTTTTCCATAAAACGAGTAAAGCCAGGGACTCTGTGTTGCATAGAAGTCTGATATCAAGCTGTCAGAATATGTTCATATTTTTTGTCAGGGGACAAAAAAAATTTAACATTCAAGCTCCAAAGAAACCTGTGCTTGAAAGAAATTTCTTAAATCTATTCTGTTTATGATGGTTTTCTCAGATTTAGAAGTGAGTTAGGATACGGTTTTTTTCCTTGTCTGAAAAGAAACCCTTAAGTTGTAGCAGTTGAAATTCTTGCTGGGGAAATAGCTCAGTAGCACCACACCTGCCTGGCAAGTGTGAGGTCCTGAGTTCAATTCCTAGTACCAAAATAAAAAAGGAAAGAAAGAAAGAAAGCCTTTCAGAAATTCTTATTAATGAAGGACCATTTTGTAGTGGGAAAAAAATTTGTAGTGTATATATCTGTGTATATATATGTATATCTGTATATACAAAATAGGATATATATACAGCTACTTTCTCTTAGTTCAATGAGAAGATTTGTACTAATAGTGTTTAGAAAAGATATCATGTCTACATCTTGTACTATGAATAACTACTACGAAGGCAATGATATGCAGTGTGTTAATTATTGTAACTGTACTAACCTGTTTTGAAACTTTCTCATAGCTATTTCTTTCTCAATAAAATTAATTAAAAATAATAATAAAAAAAGCAAAAAAATTCTTATTGAGTTGTTTGAGCTGTTTATCATTTAAAATTATGGTAAAGGTAATTCATATAGGACCATACCAAATAAAACCTACCCTGACAGTTTTTTTCTTTGGTTTTTTTTTTCAAATGAGTTGGGGAAATATTTTAAATCAAGAAAGAATAATGAGGGGGCCAGGAAGGTGGCTCAGTAGAATAAGCGCTTCCCTGGTAAGTGCAAGGGCCTGAGTTCAATCCCTGTTCTGCCAAAAAAAAAAAAGAAAAGAAAAAAGAAAGAGTAATGAGACATCTATGACTGAACTAAAAATATGGTGAATGTTTAAATTACATATATATTTTTACAGTAAAATATGCAGTGCCATTGATCCACCTAAAATACCCCTGCTTATTTTTACAAGTTTGTTTCATCATTCTTGCCACTTTCTGAGCAGCTTTAGAAGTGCTTCTATGAGCGTCTTTAGTTGTGTCATCACAGCTACCTTAATGTCCTGAGCAGGTTCAAAGTGTTACCTTTTACAGTAATCTGGATTTGGGGAAGAACCAGAAATGGCACAGTGCCAGATCCAATGAGCACAGAGAATGAAGCCATATCATTATGTTTTTACAAGCCTACCTTTCTATTATAGTCACTCAGCACCAGAATTCATTATATTTTTTATTATACCTTGAAAAAACATAAAAGAACTTCCAGAACTACTTCAGAAATTGGCAAGAGCCAGGCATAGTAGTGCACATCTATAATCCCAGCACATAGGACGCTAAAGCCTACAGGAGAATTGCAGTGAATTTAAGGCCACCATAGGCTACATATGAGTTCAAGGCTAGCCAGATGTGGTGGCTCATGCCTGTAATCCCAACACTTGGGAGGCAGAGTCAGGATTGTTGCAAGTTCGAGACCAGCCTAGGCTACAAAGTGAACTCAAGGCCAGCCTCAACTGCATAGTGAGACCCTGTCTCAAAAACACAAAAAGGGGAGGTGGAGGGCGCTAGCCTGAACTACCTGGCAAGACCCTGTCGCAAAAAATAAAATAGACCCGCAAAAAAAAAGCAATTGGCAAGAACAATGGGATAAAATAAATAAATAAACAAAAAAAGAACAATAGGATACATGTGATCTAAGGGAGAAGAGTATTTCAGGGGAGATTAATGGCAGTGTGTCTTTTACTGTAATACATTTTTTAATTTAAATATTGACAAATATATTGATCATGCCACTTCTATAGGTCTTTGAAGCTACATTTCAAGAATTGTTATTTTTAGGTTAGACAGATAGGTCAGCGGCTTAAGAGCCTGCCCCTGGCAAGTGCAAGGTCTTGAGTTCAATCCCCCAGTACAAAAAAAATAAAGTTTTGAGTAATTGTTATTCTTTCTTTTATTCCCAATTATCAATTTTACCATTACATTTTAATGGTAATTAATTCCATATTAGTAATATTACTGTAACACTTCTCATTATCAGTGTGTTATTTTCTGTTTTCATAAGATTTTTCTGTACTAAGAATTCTGCTTGTGAGGCCAGAGAGATAGCTCAGTAGAATAAGTGCAAGGGCCTGAGTTCAATCCCCAGTTCCCAAAAAAAAAAAAAAAGAATTCTGCTTGTAAATCCAATAAATCTTTATTTTGATAATAAAAAAATAATAATTCTATTTGTGTTTTAGTTGCCTAAATTAATGTCTTCTTCAAATAGGAGAAAAGATTCTTGACAGCTCAGTTACAGGAAATAGAGAACCAAAGTTTGAATCTTTTCCAAAGGAGAGATGAAATTGATGAACTAGAAGGATTCCAGCAACAGGAACTAAGTAAAGTAAAGCACATGGTATGCATTCTGTCATACTACTAAGTAACAAATAATGATAACTTACTCTCAGTTTGGCTGATCATTCTAACTGCTGATAGAGACCTATAGTGTTTGATATTAATTACATTTAAGTGTTTTAAAATTTACTGGAGTAGAAAATTTCTATTTGAAATTTTTCTTTTTCCCATTTGGTTGTTTTAAGTATAAAGCATATAAATCTTCTTCCAGGCTTGTAAGCTTTGTTTTAAATAACAAAATTTTGAACTGGAGGTTTAGCTCATGGTAGAATCCCTGTGTAACACGCATGGGTGTCTGAGTTCAAGCCCCAGCACCACCAAAAAAGAGAGGGGTTGAGTGTTGCTGTGTGCCCATACTGCCCTTAAACTCATGATCCTCCTACCTCAGCCTTCTCAATAGCTGGTATGACAGGCACATGAGACTTCATCCAGCTAAGTCCTCCTCCTCCTCCTCCTCCTCCTCCTCCTCCTCCTCCTCCTCCTCTTCTTCTTCTTCTTCTTCTTCTTCTTCTTCTTCTTCTTCTTCTTCTTCTTCTTCTTCTTCTTCTTTCTTCTTCTTTCTTCTTTCTTCTTTCTTCTCGTCTTTTTTTTTTTTGTGTGTGTGTGTGTGTGTGTGTGTGTGTGTATTTGGTACAGGGTCTACAGGGTCTCACTACACAGATCAGACTCATAGTGATTCACCTGTTATCAGCCTCCCAAGTGCTGAGATTAGAGGTGCATGCCACCATGCCCAATCTCAATTACATGTCAGTGGCCCCAGGGGCAGGGCTGGCACTAAGCCCCCTTCTAATACCACAAACATGTTATAAAATTTTGTGTTTACTTTTTTTAAGCATATATCTTGAGCTGGGGTATGGTAGTGCAGGCCTGTAATCCCAGCACTCACAAGGCTGAGGCAAGAGGATCGCTGCAAGTTCAAGGTCAGCCTGGGCTACATAGTTAGTTCAAGGTCAGCCTGGACTACATGGTGAGATTTATCCCATAAACAATAAATAGAAAGTATATTTCTTAGCAGAAGCCTAATGCAATTTTCTATCTTTGAATCAGCTGTTAAAAAAAGAAGAAAGTCTGGGGAACATGCAGCAAGAATTGGAGGCACGGACCAGAGAACTTAGTCGAACCCAGGAAGAATTGATAACCTCTAATCAGTTGTCATCAGACTTAAAACAGAAGCTAGAAGAGCTGCAGAGACGCTGCTCAACGCTGGAAGAGCAGAGGTTCTTGCTTGGTCTGTGGGGCCCGAGGGAACCCGTGTTAGTGTAGCTCTGGCCACAGCCCACCCACCTTGCCCCAATGCTCATCAAGACACTAGTGCTGGCAAAGGCCACCAGGCTTGCCCTTTCCTGCCCAAGACCCTGGCTCTCCACCGCATCCCATGGGGCCCTTCTCTGCTCCATCTGCCTGCACTCTGATCCATTCCCTCTGAGCACTTCAGTGTAGTTTTACTTTTAATGTTATTGTGTCAGCAAAGGCAGATCAGGATTTCTTGCTTAAATCTGAATGGACTTCTTCTTTTTGGGGTTCTGCTTTGGAGGAAAACAAGTGCTCCATGGATAACCTTCATGTGGTTAACAGCGTTTGCAGCCCTCACAGGGCAGCACCTGCATTTTTCCTTTGGAGAGTGTGTTATGAATGAATCATCCAAATTTTTCCTTGTCTACTTTCTTTTGATGAAGGAATCATGTGACAGCTGCAAAAACCAGTGCAGAAAATAAGATCACAGCCTTGGAACAAAAGGAACAAGAACTCCAAACATTCATTCAGCAACTATCCATTGACTTGCAAAAGGTAAGTAATATACGAGTTCCTAGAATTCATGAGAAGAGATTCAAAGCTAATCCCATCAGAAATTCCATCCTTGCCTTAGCATCTTTGGAGGTCAACCTGTGTTTTCAGCATGCGCCACCTGGAGTTCTAGCCAAGCTACACTCAGGGGAAACAGCTTTCCAGCTGAGAAAGTTTGTCTAACAGAAGAGGTCAGCAGTGTCCCAGGAGTGCTACTCAGAGCACACCGCTTGGTCTGCTCAGATAAGTCTTTAACAACTTTAATAGCTGCTCTGAGGGTCACCCACGCAGCGAGTTGTTTACGTACTGATTATCGTAAGCTATCTCAGTTGTTGCTCAGGCAGGTATCATTAAATTTAAGGAATAAATTTAATAAAATTGTTTTTATATTTCCTATTATCATAAAAATTAATGAAAAAATATGTAATATTTGGTCATTCTATATTTAAATAATTGGACAGCTAAGTAGTTAAAGTACCACATGGTAGACAGCAGTGTGGTTGATGTGGCCAGGGTTAGAACTCTGACACGTGCTTCTCATCCTGCTCATTCCATAGCACATAATCAAATGATGTCCTTGCAATTTGTGTTTTTATGTGGGCAACTTAGATTTTTTGTTTTCCTGCTCAAGGCCTGTGCCAGATCCTAAGAATATAAAGAAAATCATAATTATATTATTAAATGATAGCTCTGAATGACATGATTTTTACTGGCATTTTAAGTAAAATAATTTGTATTATATGATTGTCCTTTACATTGTAAGGTATTTACCTTTCCTGGCATCTGAATTCTGGATGCTAGCAGTGTCCTTCAGTCATTGATAATCCATTCTGTCTCATGTGACAAAATATCCTCTATCAGCTGCTATAATCCACCCCACTCCTTAAGAAACACTCATTTCAATGAGGCAGAGACTTAACATATTGTAGTTCAATAAAATTTGTGTAAAGTTTATAACCCCATCTAGCTAAGTTTTACCATACTTAGAGATATCTGAATGGAAAGGATCATATACCTTGTTCACATTTATACAGTGATTGAGCTGGTGTTTGACCCAAGTCTCATCTCTTTTTTCGGTGGCAGTGGTGCCAGGAAAGAACTCAGGGCCTCAACCATGCTCACCAAGTGCTTGAACCTCTGAGCTATCTCTCCAGTCCCCTAACCTAAGTCTTCCTGGCTCTACTGTGCTCTGTTACCTCTTAATAAGAAGCACTCAATAAATACATGCTGAAACAACTGTGATAAAGGTTTCTGCCCACAATGAACTTAAAGTCTAGACACATACTCTTCTTCCCCACAGGCTTACAGTTTTTTAAAGAAATCAAAACTTATGTTCCCATAAGGAAAACAATTCACGAATCCAACCAGCCATACATAAGTGAGCTGTGCAAAAGTTAATCTGTGGGAGGAGTACATTTCCAACCTAGGCATCTAACAAGTTTTACTGGGGGAACTGGAATGTCAGGAATGGTAGACAGCAGGAAGCAGAGAAAACAGAACCAGAGTCCATCTGAAGCTGTGGACTGAGTGCACAATAGGTATACAGTTTTGGGCCTAGGAAGACCCTTTGATAGTAGTATCATCCATCCTTTTTGTAACTGGAGAAAAAAGATTCAAGGAAGTATAGAATGATCACAGAAGGCCCCCCATTATTGAGCCTTACTGGCAGGGAGATAGCTCAGCAGAAGCACCTGCCTGGCAAGCAAGTGCTTGAGTTTGATCCCTGGTGCCAAAAAAAAAAAAAAACAAAACAAAAAAACCTTACTGAGTGCTAGGCTAGCTTCTGTACTGTTTTCAGAAATCCTATGATGAACAGTACTGCCCTTCCCTTTTTTTGGTGCTTATAAAGGGGAAATCAAGGGCCGGCCAAATAGCTCAGTGGATTAAAGCGCCTGCAAGCAGCCATAGGGGCCGGGGGTTTGATACCCAGGCCTGCTGTGCTGGCCCCACCTCTTGGGCACACTGAGACAGCAACAGAGACTGGGTATAGTAGCCTGCACCTATAATCCTAGTTCTTGGGAGGCTATAAACAGGTGAATCACTACGAGTCTGATCTAGTAGTGAGACACTGAACGCCCTGTGAACCCTTCCCTGAAATACAAAAAAAAAAGTAAATCAGGCTTTAATCATTATATATAAAAAGTTGCTAACTTTTCATGCTCTGAAGTAAAAGTACTAGGTGGTTTAGAATTCTGTTATAGCTGTCAGACCTAATCTTAATCACAAAATGCTTCCCTTCAGGAAATAACACTGCTGTGTGTGGAGGGGAAGGGGTGAGAGGAGAACATTTCTGTCAAGGAAGAGCATTATCAAAACCCCTGAGCCAAATAAAAGGTCCAGGACATTCAGGAACTGGAAGAAGAGCAGAGGGTGCCATGAAGGAGGGCAAAGAATGGATGCCCCTGCTGTCAGGAGCAAACATATTAGAAGGGCCTCCCACTTAGGACATTTGTGGTTGCCCAATCATGAGATAATGTTGGCTTTGACTATGCTTCCCTGGTATGTGCAAGGGTCTGAGTTCAATCCCCGGTTCCACCAAAAAAAAAAAAAAGCAGTGAAGATAATGAAAAATGGTCAGATTTAGAAAATATTGAGATTGATGAGCTTGCTAAGGCAATAGATAAGGGAGGAGAGCAAGAGAAAAGGAAGACTTAGGGATTTCCAGCTCTGGCTGCAGTTACTCACTGGCTGGCATTGCCAGTCATTAGGCTCATGAGCTATAGAAAGGGCAGTATTAGTGTGAAGATAATGAGTTGGCCATTAGTTTTTGTTATTGTTGTCCTTAATATTAAATATATATAAAGTAATATTTATAAATATGAAAAGATGGAAAGTGTTACATGCAATGAATCTCCTTATATCTTACTCCACCAGGTTAAGAAAAAGAATAGTGTTGGAAAAAAAAAAAAAGAATAGTGTTGGAGCCAGCCTGCAAGCATCTGCAAGCAGGCCCAGGAGCTGTGTGGACCCTGCCCCCGGGCGCGCTGAAAAGGCAGTTGAGACTGGGCAGCAGGGCTGGGGAGATGGCTCAGTAGAATAAGCGCTTGCCTCATGAGTTCAATCCCCAGTTCCACAAAAAAATTAAAAAAAAAAGAGAGAGAGAGAGAGACAGACTAGGCATGATGGCACGCTCCTGTAATTCCAGCTCTTGGGAGGCTGTAAACAGGCAGATCACTACGAGTCCGATCAAATAAAGAGACCCTGAGCACCCTGTAGACTTTTCCCTAAAATACAAAAAGAAAGAAAAAGAATAGTGTTTATTGTTGAGGCTTTCTGTGTGTCCTTCATGATTCTGTTGCATTTCTTATTCCTCCAGAAGTAAACGCTATCCAAAAACTGTTTCCATTATTTTCTTACCGCATCTTATCCAAAACAATATCTTCTTTCTCATGCTTATTAATATATAAATTAAATCATGTTATAGGTACTGTCTTTAAAAATTTTATTTTTATTGCCAATATTATGTTTCTAAAGAACATTCACATGAAAATTACAACAATAGGGCCGGCAAGATAGCTCAATGGATTAAGCTCCTACTTAAGGAAGCACAAGGACTGGAGTTTAATCCCCCGCCACACTGGACCTGGCCGCACTAAGCCAGCCACTGAGACTGGGTGTGGTGGTGCATGCCTGTAATCCCAGTTCTGGGAAGGCTGAAAATAGGATTACTACCAGTCTGAGCTATGTAATGAGACCCTGTGCCAAAACACATTAAAAAAAAAAAAAAAGAAAAAACAAAAAAGAAAAAAAATCACAACAATAATTATTTTCTCAACTGTATAGTATGGACAGTATAAACATTTATTTCTCACTTCTGATGACAATGGACACTAGTGTGTAATCTTTACTATTACACACAAGGCTGCCCTGAAACTGGTCACATTGTGCAAGAGTTTGCTCCAGGGTGTGTATGAGAGGTGAGAAGCATGAGTCAAGCTGGGTGTAGTGGTGTCCACCTAATCCCAGCATGTAGGAGGCTGAGATAGGAGGGCCACCATGAGATTGAGGCCAGCCTGGGCTACATACATAGCAGTTCAAGGGCAGCCTGAGTGCAGAGTGTGACAGTGTCTCAAAAAAATGTTCATGTGATATTTGCACTATCAACTTTAGTAGATGATATTCAAGGATTTTTCCTATAGTAATTGTATTTTTATTTTTTATTGCAAAAATTTTCTTTTGGTCTTTTTGAGGCACTGTTGAGTTCAGGCTGACCTTGAGCTCACTTTGTAGCTCAGGCTGGTCTCAAAATTTGTGGTGATCATCCTGCCTCAGCTTCCTAAGTGCTGAGATTACAGTAATTATAATAATTTATATACTCCCATCAGTAGTTTTTCTTCCTGTTAAGGTGTAAAATTATTAAGCCTTTACTTTTTGTAAACTTGGTAATTATAAAATACCTCACCACATCGCAGTTTGCCTTTTCCAGATTTCTAGTGAGGTTGGGCATTTTTTCATGTTTATTTGACCATTCACATTCTTCTGTGACCTACTGTTCCAATCTTTTGCCCACTTTTCTGTTGTGTTTTCTTCTTTTTTTCTCATGTTAGGGATTCTGCCTGTCTGTTTCGTTGTATTGAGGATTGAACCCAGAGCCCTTACACTGAGTTATCATCCAGAAACTTTTTTATTTTTGATTGTATTTTATTATAGTGGCTGTGGGGGTAGCTTACTAAGTTCCTAACTTCCCCAGGCTGAGCTCAGACTCGTGATCCGGAGTGCTGGGATTCCAGATACGTGCCATATGCCTGGCTAGGGAGTCTTTAGGTAGGCTGTGGCCACCATGGTCCTTTGTGAGCTATCCAATTTGGGTATGTCTCGGTCCAGTCTTTGGCTTGTCTTTGTGTGCTTGGTGATATATATCCATACAGTCTTCATTCCCATGTGTGTAACTGAACTTAGTGTTTTCTTTTCATTTTTTTCTTTTTTGAGGTACTGAGGATTGAACTCAGGCCCTTGCACTTGCCAGACAAGCACTTATTCTACTGAGTTGAGCTATCTCCCGG